TTTTTTTTTTTTTTTTTTTTTTGAAAGAAAGGGTAATTCTTCTAAGCCCAAGCAATTCAATCTTTTGTCAACGCTGACAGGGTGGCCTTTCAGGTCATTTTTTATTGTCAATGTAGTAGTATCGGGAACCCCGGTGCAGCCACATCCATGTTCATGCCTCTTCCAATGAGGGAACATGCAGGGGGGGAGCACCCAACCTACATGTGGGCAATAACGGCCAGGTGTCAGTGGGTAGCGTCAGAGACCATGCCCCCACCGACAGAACCAGTCACTGCACCTCCCCTCCAGTCCCCTCCCTCTACGAACAGCTGCATTTGCTTAAATTAATTGCAGATGGAGGGGGGCAATGGGGCTAGATGGTGGGCACCAATTATGTCCAGGTACATGAGGCCTATTGGCATCAAACCTATGACCTCCTAAATGCCACTTGTGTGCCTTTTTTTTTTTTTTTTTTTTGCATTTGTGCCTTACCAACTGAGCTAGGCTGACGAGGGTCACCACAATTTTGTCCCCAGCTCATTCTTCTTTTTTTTTTTTTTTGGGGGGGGGGGGAAAGGGGGGGGGGAGATAATTTGCAAAATTCCCCTATAAGTTAAGATGTATGCCAAAATGCCCCTAAAAGATGTGAATAGAACGGAATGCCCCTCTGACCGAAAGAAAAAAATAAAAAATTGCAAAAATACCCCCGGTGTTTGTTGGAACCCCCATCTGTGCAATATAACCCAACCGAGTACTGTCCAACTTTGCAAAATGCCCCTGCTGGGTAACTTGCCATTCTTTCCAAGGCTGGCTGCAAAAGGCCAAGGCCCAGACGGCGAGGTCCATATTGCAAATTTGCGCACCGGCCTGACAGGGGCATAACGTAAAGATTTCAGCCCCCAAAAGGGCATTCCGCTCTACCCACATCTTCCAGGGGCATTTTGGCATATATCTCAACTTATGGGGCTATTTTGCAAATTGTCCCTTTTCATTTTTATCTATTAAATTGGAACTTTTCTCGATTTATGGGTGTCAGGCCATGCTATTCTTCTCTGTATCATTTCAATTCAATTTTAATTGAAGGAAAAATAAAAATAAAAAAAATTGAAGCATGCCCGGAAAGACTCCCTCCCGGAGCTCATTTCGCAAGTGGCCTGTATAATAAGTACACGCCCTTTCTGGCACACTTTGCTCGTTTAGTAAACAATCCACTTCGTCGAAGCAGGATGCAGTCATAATGAGGGTGCGTTGTGTTCGGGGACAGACGGTAGCCATGCTAGAATGGAGTCGTATTTGCTTATGGATAGGTTTCACTTTCAGTTGGTAAGGCATAGAAGTTGCATGCAGGAGGTCGTGGGTTCAATCCCCCTTGGCCTCACGTATGTGCCTGGGCAAGCTTGGTGTTCTACCAGCTAGAGATAACCCATTGGCCCCCCAAGCCAGCATTGGCAGGACCTTGGCTGATGTTGTTGGCTGCTATGCAGCAACAATATTGGTCATTAGACACCGCCATGTGGGGTTTGGAGGAGGTAGGGGAGGTGCAGTGACTGGCCATTGCTCGGCGCTAGCACCACCGATTTCCCCTTGTCACCGTGATGAGGGACTGGTACAGCCTTGCTCTCGCACCACTGCTGTGGTGCCAACCTACCCCGTGGGCTGGGGAGAGATCCGGGTAGGTTGGTGTTTCCCCGTACTATACATACATAGACTGCAGTCTTCCCCCGAGTACAACGTTCGTTCATTATAGCTGAATTTGGGGTATCTTTCAGTCTAAATTCAGCTATAATGACTGTACGTTGTATTCGAGGGAAGACTTTTAGTGAGAGGATGAGATAGATGAGAGAAGAATATAGCTTTCTTTTTTTTTTTTTTTTTTTTTTTTCCCAAGCACAAGTACACGGCCCCAGCCCTGCAGCAAAACATATTCAATTTGTCGCCACAAGATTGTTTTTGCGGCTACGGCCTACCGGACCACAAGGGCTGGCACCGCCAGCCAAAAAGGAAAAGAAGGGCGCACTGCAGTTCGGAAAGTGCGCCGCTGGTGGTTCGGAAAAAGAGGCCCGCGTGTACTGGTGGTTTAAATTAAAGAAAACACCCGTCTGGGTGCTAGGGGTGCTGATACGAGCAGTCACCTCTAGCACTGTAGAGGGGGACTCCATCTATTGGTGGGGACCAATACCTGCTGGAAACCTGGTCCAGCGTCCCTTGTACAAAATCATGTCTGTATTGAGCTCTTGAAGTTGCCTGCCAGCATTGATCGCCCTGGGAAGCAGGGGATTAACTGTGCAGGAGTAGTGGGGGGAGGGGGGGTGGCCTCTTCAGCCCTATGAGCGGGCGCCTGACAAGCCATGAATAGCTAGTTCTCCCTTTAATGCTGCAGTCAGCCCTTCGGTTAGTGACCAGACATGGGTGCCAATCTTCCCAGCAACATCTTAGGTGGACCGAGCTGATGTACGAGGAAGGGGCGGGGGGGGGAGGGTATTCTGCACCCAGGGGCCGACTGGGGCAGACAGCCTGTTCCTCCCACTACCCTTATCCATCATGATCGGCCTCCCTAGGGCTCTGCTGGACGGGTTCCCCTGTGTCACGGCCATACCAGCTCAATTGAGCCAAGGCACTGTTGGGTGGGGGGAATAGGTCTCGCAATTCAGAGGCAGGGGGGAGTGGGATGTCGCTGGGAATTGCAGTCCACTCATGAAAGATCAATCGGTAGTCTTTCTGCGATGTGTCCAATCGATCGTTGTCATCCAGGTGCCAGCCATCCCATTGGATCCTAAGGCTTGCAATCCATCCTCCCTGTTCACCCCCCAGCCAGTCTATGCAGAATTCATGTAGTTTCTGGATAATGTCTGATCGTTTTGTAAAAGTTTTCATCACTTGTACAGTCTTTTTCCACTGGGCTCTGATTGCTGTTTCTGTCATATCTTTAATCATATCCATCATTTCGCCTCTTTCCACATGGGCACCTTCAAGTGCTAAAGTGCATCTGCGATGCCATATGGCCCATAATACCGCTTCCCTCCCAATCCAAATAAGTTGGTCGTAAAGGCGGAGGTTTGAGCTGTCCAATGTCCAGTTAGCAGGGCTCTCCATTCCCACGCCCAATCCCTGTCAGTGCCTAATTGGTTCCAAATCCAGACCCACCCATGCCGCATCAGGATTGAAGCTGGGCACGGCAGAAAAAGGTGTTATATTGTCTTGTTAGCCTTTGGAGAGGGAAAGCCCTTCTTGCACGCCAGGCACCAGGGGAGAGCCAACCCTTTCTGCTCCAGGTAAGTATGGTCAATGAGCCATGCATTTGTGGGTAAGCAGCAGTGGGCGATCTGCCATTGGAGCGAGGCAGTCTTCCCCGGCTTAGATTTTACCTCTTTAAACCATTTTATTGGTCTCAGGATTTCTAGTGGAACATTTAAGTGTCCTGCCCAGCGGTCCACTATGCGGTCCCTCAGGTTGAGTTCAGTCTTGAGCATCCGATAGGTTGCCTTAACGCCCAGTGTGTCGGGGTAACGATATTTTTCTCTGCCATTCGTCATTGGAATCTTCCATCCCCACTCAGCTGCATCCATAAGGAGGTCCTCGATTGGCATCTCCGGCCTAAATGCCACCCAGAAGTCCCCATCTCGTAGGACATTCACCCTGTGGACTGTTTCAACATCAATCCAGTAGACTTCATCGGGCACTCCCCTGATCAACCGGTTGAGTTGTGTACGATGAAAGAAGTTTACCAGCACGTGCCCTGGTCTGACTGTAAGTACTTCCCCCACCCGAGTTGCGTCCCCTCTTATCACCACCCAGTCACCTTCCTCCACCGTTGGTCCCCGCCAAAGAGTCCGCAGGCATGCGAGAATATAGCTTATTTAGAAAGAAAGAAAAAACTTTCACTGCAGCGCACTTGCCCGTTTCATACGTCATCCACTTCATTTGATTCAGGTCGCAGGTTCGCGTCTCTCTAATATAGTACTAAACATGCTAGAGTGGACTTGAATTTGCTTATGCACAGGCTTCACACTTACCGTAGCACACTTGCCAGTTTCATACGTGATCCACTTCTTTTTTAATGTCAGGTCGTAGGTTCGAGTCTCTCGAATATAGTACTGAACATGCTAGAATGGAGTTGAATTCGCTTATGCACACAGGCTTCACACTCACCGTAGCACACTTGCCCGTGGCATGCGAGATCCACTTCTTTTGTGTCAGGTCGCAGGTTCGAGTCCTTGAGGAGGCTGGAGTGACCCAGGGGAAGAGGTAATTAGGGTGGGGAAGGAGGGAGTGGGAACCCAGTTCTGCGGGGGCATGTGCATGATGTGGTAAGGAAATTGTGAGTCCCAGATGGAGCTGGAGTGACCTAGGGGAAGGAGCAATCCTGGTTCCTGCCTGAGTTTGATATGCTTAAGTGTGTGACAATTTTTAGGGGTTAAAAAAAGGCGGGCACAGTTCTTACAGCTTTTCTAAAAAAACTATCATCCCCTGGATTCCAGGGTAATCAATGCTGGCAGGGGGAGTTTCTCTTAACTTCTCAAAAAGATCTTAGTTGAAGTGTAAATGTTCTTATGGGACTCTGGGCCCGGTTTCCAGCACGTGCTGCTCCCCACGAATAGATTGGAGCTTTTGTTCCCAAAAAAAAAAAAAAAAAAAAAGGTTCGAGTCCCCATGGGGCCGAATATGGAATTTCGATTTCGGACGAATTGAACCATACACGCGATATGCAGCTGCAACAGTCTATGGTACTAACCATGCTGCAGTAAGCTTTTTTTTTTTTGTTTGTGTGTGTGTGAAAGTTCCCCGTATGCCTACAAGTAGGAGTAGTGGTAGGTAGGTAGTGTGAGGTGAAATTGAGAGAAGAATATAGTTTTCAAAAAAAAAAAAAAAAAAAAAAAAGAACAGCATCGTTGGGGTGAAGCTTGCATTCAGGGTAATCGTCCCAGCTTCAGTTTTCAGAAGGGTTCGTTTTTCTGGAGGGATTCCAGGCCTCCTGTTCTTCTATTTCGGTAATAAGAGTGCCCCAGCCTATCTTTTGTTATTAAAAAAAAAAAAGAAAAAAAAAAGAAGCATTCAACGCCTTCGTTTTCACCCTACTGTCTTCACCCCAATGGAACACACGGTTAGCATTGCTGTACCTGGACTGGTAATTTGCACATACAGCTACAATTGCCGGGCATTAATTCGGATGAAAACGGTAGCACACTTCCCCCCCCCTCCTCTTTTTTTTAAAGTAAAATCACTTGGTAAGTGCTTCCGTCACTTCTTCACTTCACTAACTGACGGAATCTGGAGCGGGTTAAAAAAAGAAAAAAAGAAAAAAAAAAAGAATTTGATGCAGGTAGCAGGTGCGACGAGTCTTGGCGAGTGAATTTGGACCTTGGAGTTCCAAAGGTTACGACCATAGAATCATACCAAATAATTTGGACCTTGGAGTTTATGTTATTATTGCTGTCCTTTTTTATTATTATTATTATTATTATTATTATTATTACTATTGTTATTATAACCATCCCAAACAATTTGGAGCTTGGAGTTGATTTATTACTGCTGTCCTTTTTTTTTTATTTATAATATAACCATACCAAACAATTTGGAGCTTGGAGTTGATTTATTACTGCTGTCCTTTTTTTTTTTTTAATATAACCATACCAAACAATTTGGAGCTTGGAGTTCATGTGATTATTTTTGTCCTTTTTTTTTTTTTTTTTTTAATATAACCGTAGGTCCGTAGCAAACAATTTGTAGCTTGGAGTTCATGTTTTTATTGCTGTCCTAATCACACCAACAATGTGGATTTTTCTGAAATAAAGAACGCAGAAGATTCTCCCGCATCCAGCAACAAATGCAGACATGGCTAAGACTCAAGTGAGCTCCAAGTCAAACGAAATAGCAAGATGGAAATTGAACCATGGGTCATCATCAGAAACGGAATGGCAATTGTTTAATAAAACCAAAAAAAAAAAGAAAAAAAAAGGGAGTGGGAATGTGTGCTGTGGTGGTGGAGAAGGAGGCCGTCACCGTTTTGGTTGCACTTGTGCTGGCAATGACGACAATGATGATGACATCATCTATAGCGTCGTTTATGATAATAGTATCATCATCATACCGATGGAGCGATGACAATAACTGATGATTATCATTGGAATGATGATAATTATGATCATGATCAGGAGGACGACGACCACAACAACAGCGTGCTGATGATTACGACATCAATAATAAGTGGTAGTCGTAGTGCTAATGATGATGATGATGATGATGATGATGGCTGGATAAGGGCGATGATGATGATGATGATGATGATGATGATGATGATGATGATGACAAGGAGCAAACAATGACGAGGAGGAGGATGACAAGGAGGAGGAAGGGGAGGAGGAGGTGGATTGACAACAAGGAGGAGGAGAATGACGCAGGAGATGGGCCCGAGGACAAGGACGGAGACTGAGGCAGGAGATGGGGCCGAGGACAAGGATGGGGGCTGAGGCAGGGAGATGGGGCCGAGGACGAGGATGCGACCATATGAGGACCCGTAATAGACGCCGGAGCAGGACTACAGTAGAGTTAAGATGAGAATAGGAATGAGGATAAGGATGGAAGGGGAAGACTGTGTCACCGGTGGAAACGAAGATGAGATTCTGTAGAAGAACAATGGTCAGGTTAGGAATGCCAACAAGGACGAGGGCATGGAACCATTAGAAGAATCATTATTATTTTTCATAGGGGTAACTAGGGCGCAGTCACGATTTTCAATTTTAAATCCACTTCAGACATCCCTCGAATACAAAACATCCCCACCCAACCCTAAAGCTAGAAAGCTAGGTTGTATACATTCACGATTTTTTTCCTCCCTTTGGAGCAACATTCTCGAAATCGTGACTGACTGAAACGCATTTTCAAACTGAAACCGTGACTGCCCCCCCTTTTTTTCCCCTTTTCTTTTCAGGTTTCGATGGCAAGGACAGCGAGTGGGGTACACAATTATGGACCACCATCATGATGATGATGCTTCAAAGATCAGCAAAAATTTCGTGTCCTTGATGATGATGATGATGATTCAAAGATGATGATGATGATGATGATGATGATGATGATAAGCAAAAATTTGGTGTCCTTGATGATGATGATGATGATTCAAAGATGATGATGATGATGATGATGATGATGATGATGAGCAAAAATTTGGTGTCCTTGATGATGATGATGATGAT